TCCCTTAATTTCCAAAACCTGGAAGCAACCAAGATGTCTTTCAGTAGGTGAATGGATAAATAAACTCTGGTCTATCCTGACAATGGAATAATATTTAATGCTAAAAAGAAATGAGCTACCAAGTCATGAAAAGACAGCAAGGAATTTTATTTATTTATGTATTTATTTGTTTATTTATTTACTTCAATTTTTAATTTTAAAGATGTGGGATACAATTTAGGGTTAGGTATACAAACGTTCATTATGTTGGTATCCTTGTTCATGAGTTGTGCCTCCCCTTCCCTGACAGTATCCCTTAACTGACAATCCTACCCTCCCTCCCATGGCAGTTTCCCACTACTGCCAATCCCTTTCTTATAGTATTATGATAATTGTTCAAGGATCACTTATGAGTGAGAACACATGATACTCTTTGTTTCTGTGATAAATCACTGAGTTTTACAGACTCTAAATCCATCCAAATTGCTGCAAAAATCTATGTTTGTCCTTCTTTATGGCTGCATAATATTCCATTGTGTATATGTACAACATTTTTTTAATCCAGTCCAGTTTCGATGGGTAGCATGGTTGGTTTTTTGCTATTGTGAATAGTGCTACAATAAACATGCATGTGCAGGTGTCTTTTTTGTAGAATGATTTGAGTTCCTCCGGGTATATTCTCAATAGGGGGATGGCTGGGTGATATGGAAAGTCAATTTCTAGTTCTTTCAGAAATCGCTACACTGCTTTCCAAAGAGGTTGCACTAGTTTGCATTGCCACCAGTAGCGTAGAAGCATTCCTTTTTCTCCACATCCTCACCAGCATCTGTTGTTTGTAAACATAGGCAAAACTTAACGTGGGCTATTTTTTGTAAATGCCTATATTAAAGAAAATTAAAACTTAAGTTCAACCAATCAGAAGCTGCCAACTAACTTATAGTTATACAATTAGGGATATTCCAACATGATAGATCAAATTAGGCGACTACATAATTTAACCAATGAGATATTTACTTGTTTACTCCTGTGTTTACCCTATAAAAGCCTTGGGTTCCCCCTAGTGGAGCCTGCAACCACATTCAGTTTGATGTTTCTTAAACCATGAACCTCTGTTTGTTCAAAAAAAGTCTTTAAAATTTTATTGTGCCTCAGTTTACCTTTTATCAACTCTAAAAATGAGTTAAGGCCTGGACCCTGTCCTGACAGGGGTCCTACAATGGTTGGTATGAAGAAACATAAATTCACGAGTAACTAACTCTCCATGGAACATTCTAAGTGTCCAATAAGGGAAGGGGTGGTAAGAACTATCCCTAAATTCCACCCTTCCTGGCCAAGTGAGCCTTCTCAAGCCTCAATTTCATCTTCTGTGGAATGATATCTCCCTATCTTGGGGAACATTATAAAAATTAGAGATAATATATGTCATAAAATTACTTGGCACATAGAAGGATCTCAGAAATGTCAGTTCCAGCCATTCACACTTTCTCTTGAAGGTCAAAGGAAAGCGAGATCATTATGTGGGGGAGAGATCAGGGAAGACGTCGTGGAGGAGAAGGGTTTGACCTGGGTCTTGAAGTAGACAAATCTGAAAAGGAAGAAGGCAGAAGAAAAGTATTTTAGGAAATAGTTATGACACGAACTAAGTTTAAAAATGGAAAAATACAAAGTGCTCTTAGGGAGTTCATAGGTGACTCCCAGAGTCAGTGTGATTGCAAGGATAAAGATGGTACCCTGTGGATTCTTGTCAGTTGGGGACTCCAGGGGGAAAATGTTTCAGGAGAAATTGAGCTTGGCCCTGAGCAAGGTCACTTAGGGAGTGATGGAGGACTTGGGTACTCTATTGCAGAAAAAGATGGAGAAGCTGCAGCTGATGTTCATCCACAATAAAACAGAAGCTCGGTTTCTTCATCTGTAAAATGGTGTTATCTATGTTTCCTCAAAGTTATTGGGAGGATTAATAGTTGCTGCCACTTATTGAGGGTTTAATGTGTGCCAGACATTGTCAGGCTCTTTCATGCATGGCCTCAACACTGTTCTGAGGTAGAGTTTCTGTTTTTATTCTTGTTTTTTTTTTTTCAGATTACAAAACTAAGGTTCTTGGTGTTACCTAGTGCAATGCTTATGTTACATAGCTGAATTTCCACCTCAGACTAACCCTGCTTATCTTTAAGAAACAGAAAGGCCTGAGGACAGAAGTTTCCTCCTTGAACCAGTTAAACCAGTGAAATTCAAGATGGCAGCTCACTCAACTTCTGCAGAACCTCTAACCTCATTATAATCTAATTTCCATACTAAATGACACACCTCTCAGCAGCCATGACAGGAATGTAGGAATTTTTTGGAGAGAAAGCAGGTATGATCCGAATTCCAGGAAATCTGTCCATTCTCAGAAAAGATATGAATATGTCTCCATTTCTCCCCTTTTTTTAAATGTCCAACCCCCTTGTTAAAGAATCCTTGTATTTTAACTCCCTCACCTCCCACTGGTGACAAATTGATCTGTGAATCATGTTCTCACTTCTCCATTTTACGTCCATAGGATTAAAGCCTGCCCTATTTGACCCCCACTTTTGGTTTTGTATATTCGGCTCCAAGGCACCTAATGGGAGAGAACCCCATTTTTGGTGCAAAGGAGACTTGATCGGTAACATTGGAGGTTGAGTGAATTGCACCAAGTCATAACAGCTTCTAAGGGGCAGAGTCAGACTAAGAACCCAAGACCATCTGATCCAGACTGTGAGATTTAACCACCATGTCGAGCTTCTGATGGCCCTTGGCGTGGACTTCTATGTTCACCTCCCCATTTCTGGAGCATCATGCAGACCAATGTAGCTCCCAGCAGCCTGACATATCAGTGGTACTGTGGCCAAGATGCAGCCTGCTGCAGCCCCTTCCCTCGTTCAGTTCCTGTCTCATCTCATCTACCTTTCTAATCAATGCCATGACCCCTGCCGTGCTTAGGTTCAGAGCCACTAACTACTGCCTACACACAGAGTGTGCTTCCTCCAGATTTCTGGACAAATGCTCAACATGACCAGGTATAAGTCTTCACAATCTTATCACTTATTGGTCATAAGGCTCTTAAAATATCTTGACAGGATGAATTATAAATAGTAAGCATGCTGGTGACCCAGCTCAGCAGAAGTATCTTAGAGGGTTATTTTCTCCCTTACACTTAAGGGCATTTCGGGGCGCTCAGACTGTGGGAGCTATTCTGGGGTATGGGAATGGGAGGTACCAGTTCTGTGACTATGCACACTGGTCCTTCTCTGCATTCTCTGAGCTTTCCCAGGGTAAGGAAGGCTGGGGGCATCAGTGTCTGAGTGGCCAGGGTCATGGCATAGTGACTTGGGATCACAGAGGCCTAAGGTGGACTATCTTATACCCTTACTGAATATACACTACTGACTATACTATACCCTTACTGAGTATACTACACTATACCCTTACTACACTATACCCTTACTGAGTGTGTTATGCCGGAAGTCACTGATCTCTGAGCCTGTAATGTGATGGTAAGTACAGTCTGTCCACTGCATCAGGTGCATTTATCTTCCCATTTTATTCTCATAACAATCCCAGATGGATCTCATCTGGGCCCTCCTCAGAGGGAATGAGGAAGAGGAGTTCAAGATGAAAGTAGGGACAAACTGACTGGGGAGAAGGGAGGACTGGAGAGTGGAGCTCCTCAGAGTGGAGTAGAGTTAAAGATGTCAGGAAGTCATCCTACGGTCCTGGGCTGCAGGCCATGAGGAGGACCAGTATGGGGAGACATTCAGTCAGGAAGTCTGACTTATCACTTGGGTATAGCTTCTGCCTCCAGTCATCCTCCCTCAGACCCTTCTTCCTTCATGGTTTTGTCTTCACCCCTCAACAAGCTCTGATGGCAGTATCCCAGAATCGCTTTCCTTATTCCTGCTATGCTCTCAGGGAGCACTCTTTCTCTCTTGGTGAAACAGCCAGGTCTTCTCCCTCTGTTGCTATCAAGTCAGGTGGTGGCTTCTCTCACCATGTGCCCTCTGTCCCCAGCCTCTCCTGGAAACGGCTCTAGTTTTGTGCAGTCTCTCCCACCCTATGACAGGTCACCTGAACCCAGCCCCATGGCTACTCTGGACAGAATCCAAGACTCATGCAAGGATTAGAATTAGATGAAGAGCACCGTCTCTGAAATCAGCGTGACACTGCTTTGTCATTTCCCGATTTTGTGACCCATGGGCAGCTTCTATTTTCTGTCCATGACCTTGTGGGGTTGCTATGAAAATTACACAGTTATGTATTTTCAGTGCTTAGTACGGTTCCTGATATGTGAGAAGTGTTCACCCCGGAGAGCTGTCGTGATGATGAATGGGGCTGAGTGCTCTGCAGATGACCATGGGACCCACTAGGGAAGGGGGCCCAGCACCTTGGGCCTGTGCGGAGCTCAGGGCCATGTGGAGAATGTAGCACTGGGCTGGACCCAGCTCTCCAGATGCTTGCAGGGTGCTAAGGGAAAGCAGAGGAACAGAGAGAAAGGACTCCCTGAGGCTTTTGTGTGAAACAGTTGTGGAATACAAACTCAGCGGTTTATTGTCTCAAAAGCAGCATTCCCAGCACTCAGCAAATGTGGGGGTCTCTACCCTCTTCCATCAATCGCCTCTGCAGGCAGAACAAGCCCAATTCTGTCTTAGAGCTGTGTGACCTTGGGGAAGTTATTCAGTCTCTGAGTCCTACTGCTTCGGATGGCTGGAGTGGGGAGACCAAGAATATAAAGTGCCCACTCCACCCCTTATTTTCCTTTCGCCAAGTTGAAAGACACAGGCATCTTCTGGAATCTTTACGTCCTGGTGTTTTTTGTCAGCCAGTCCCCAGGTGGGAGAGGATTTGCAATTCAACACTCTGCTCTTTTGCTGAGCCTTGTGACTTGGCTGGGGCTCCCCAGTACTGGTGGAAAGGGAAGTATCGCCTGCCCTGGGCTCCGGTGTCACCAGCCCAGCCTCCCAGCTCCTGAGCTGGTGTCGCTCAAGGGACATTTCTCTCCTGACTGTGGGCGAGGAGGCAGCCAGCACCCTACAGCCCGGGACTATGGGGGAGCAGGACCGAATTTGCAGTTCCAGCTGGGAGTCCCCGCAGGGCAAGAGCTCCCTGGACTCGGCTTGGTCATGGGTAAGGGCCAGCCATGTGGCCATCTGCAAACACAGCCCCTGCTCTCCCTCCTTCCATTCTTAAGTGGAAATGAGGGGGCTGGGGGTCATTGCACTCAGAACGTCTTGTGCAGGATGGGTTCATGCATCCACATCTCTCCAGTAATGGGCCCAGCTTGCATTTCAGACACTCCTATTCCAGTAGTTGCGTTTATAGAGGGGGTTTTAGAAGTTAAAGCCTTTTCTTTTTGCTTCGGATGGAAAATGCATAGTGATTGCTTTGATCCTCCAAACAGGGCCCTGGGTTTTTTGAGGGCTTCCAGCCCATCAGATACTGTGCTTGTCTTTGGGTGCGAGTGAGGAGGAGAGGCTGGAAGTATTTAAGGCTGTTCCCAACTTAGCCATTTAACCGGCGCTTTCTCAGGTAATAGGCTGCATATAATGTGGGACTCCACAGAACCCCAGAGCCAGTAACTGTCCCTGCTGCCCTTTTCAGATCTCATCCTAGATGCCTGGCGAGGTGGGGAGAGGTTGTTCAAAGTTAGTTATTTTCACGGAGAAATGCCCAAAGCAGGTGAGGAGGGTGTTCAAACACCCCTAAGTGGCAGTGAGTACTGAGGGCAGGACCTGGGCTAGAACTCAGGGCCTTGCTGTTTCTCCCAAAGACCTGCAGTGAGGATGATGTGTCAAATTACCACTCCAAATGGTGCGCCTGGGGCACCCGTGATGCTGTGCTCTGGGCCTGGGCTGCTGAGGCTGGGCTGGCACTGAGGTAGGGGTCAGCCTGCTTGGGGAGCAGGGAGCTCTGGGTGCTTTCTGTATCTTAGGGAAACAGAGCGAGGGTGTGGCCATTGTGAGGAGGACAGACCTGCCGCTACTGGTTCCTCAAAGCACCTGTCGCCTGTCACTTCAGTCAGCTCCACCCTCAGAGGCAGTGACTTTAAGGATCCCTGCTGGGTGTTGCAGGGTGTGGTGTTCAGGCTGCAATGCAGGGAGAGATGCCAGGGGAGGAGAGAGGGCCAGGGATCCTGCTTTGTTTTGCTGGTTGGCCCTTTGGGAATTATTTCCAGAATGGACCAGATGCCTGCCCAGGGGCTACCTTGAGCTGGTCAATGACCCCCCCTCTGTACGCTGGGGATAGGAGAAGGACCTCCTCTCAGGAGCACTGGGGAGATGAATGACACCCACGTAATCCAACAGACAATTTTTGTGATTAATCAGGAATTAAAATGGCTTTGTCTTATTTCCATTCCTGGAACGTCTCTTAAATGCAGTACACATCGTTGCCCGGTGCTGACTGAGACTTGCAACTTGTACTTCCTTCTCCCATGGGGGTAGGCAAGGCTCCCATAAAGCTCTTCTGCACTCCACAGTGGCTGACACTCTCTGCAGCCCTGAGAGTGTCACCACATTTCTTTATCATGGTATCTCCCTAGTACCACCCAGGCAGGTGGGTAGCACAGACACTGTCATTCCCATTTGACAGCTGAGAAAACAGAGGCTATGAAGTTAGAACTTGCCTATAGAACTGTCGGGGGGGGTGGAGGTTGGTGAAAAATGGAAACAGAAGTCGGGTGTCCAGGGTCCCAGCTCAGCCCTTATTCTCTCTTCCTGAGCCTCTACAGACATGGCGACCTGCAAAAGTTCTGATTTAATGCTGTGTCTGTTTTCTGCTTTTTTTAAAAAAAATATTAGCTCTTTTTCCTGATTGGAGAAGCATGTTAATTATAGGATATCTAGCTTATATAGGAAAGTGTAAATAAAATAAGTTTGGGAACTTTGTAAAAAGAGGTCACGTTTTATTCCCTTAGGCATGAAGTTCCTTATAATTAAGCCTCAGAGAGACTTCCAACTCCCTTTCCTGTCCCACCTCCCCTTATATTCCATAACTCTTCCACCTCCCCACCCCTCCCATGTTCTTAACAAATGCTTGTCTACTAAAGGGATTCTAAAGCCCTAGGTTAAAATTATCAACAGGCCCCCTTTCCTGATCCACGGTGGTCTGGATGCTCACCTCCACCCACTCCTCTGTGCGCCCCAGGGGAGGCAGACCACCATGGGTCAGGAGGGGGGTGGGAGTCTGCCTGTTTTTGCTGGAGCTGCAGAGTTGGCTCTCTGCAAGGTGTAGGGGTCTGAAGGGGTCTGGGGGACTTGGGCCTGGCTCAGTTTGTGCCACATCTGGACGAATCTGACCTGCTTGCTAGGGGTGGTTGCAGAGCAGTGATGCTGGGAACCTAACTGTGCTCCATTGAGTTAATTGGCCTCTGCTGCTGGGGGGCGATAATCTGGGACTAGCCCTTGGAGACCAGGGGAGGGCCAGGACCAGAGTCGGGGTTTCAGCAAAGCTGAGAAACTGGGACACAAATCAGGAAGGACCCCTGATGACCTTATGGGGAGTGCAGGAAGCTTGGGTGAGGCTGCAGAAGACCTGGCCACACAGGAGGGAGAGGCAGGAGCTGCAGCTGCCTTGGCCAGGATCCCAGGTGGGTCTGGCTGGCTTCCAGGAAGGGTAAAAGTAGCTCCGCTGCCACAGGGCTTTTTTCATTCCTGGGGCCAGAAAAGGGCAGCTGGTGGCACCACGAGCCCTCAGAGGCACCTGCTAAATTGGCACCATCCACCTGTGGTGCTGGCTGTAGCCATTCCCAGAGACTCTGGGCCACAGGTACTCCTGGGACCTGAGTATGTGGAGTCCTGTGGGGGGTGGAGGGTGAATAAGATCTGGTCCTGCTCCCGCCCTGCGAGTGGGGATGCAGTTGGCCAGCCACAAAGTTTAGGGGCACAGATCAGGAGTGATTCTGTCTGGCAGGGTTAAGGGAGGCGCCTCTGAGACGCTGGCATTTGAGCCAGGCCTTGGAGAAGGAATCAAGTTTCAAAAAACAGAGCAAAAAGGGGTGGAACCTTCCAGGCTGTGGGGGTCAGCTTAAGCAGAGACTGGGGCGTGAGTGTACAGAGTGTTCCCCTAAAGCTAAGTCTGCAGGTTTGGCTGCTTAGTCCATTTGGGACTTTGTTTTTCCTTAATTGGAATATGCATAGTGACGGGTATAGCAGCTGTCACAAGCTGATTTGTAAAACCCAGCGCAAAGGCAAAGGCACAAGGGCCAAGGGCCCTGGGCTCACACCCCAGTTCTGCCAGTTACAAGTTTTGATTTGCTGAAGATTTAGTTTTCTCATCTGTAAAATGAGGCGTATAATACCTAATAATATACTACTCACAGGCTATTGATAAATGGTAGCTAGACCTGAAAAAAGATGGCCTTGGTTACAGGTTGGGCTGTAAGTATAATGGTGACAGGACATTGAATCCATTTACACTGACCCAGTGGACTCAGAGGGTCCTGAAAGTGGAGAAAGGAACGTATGAAGACAATTCCCTTCATCCTTGTATGAAGGAGAACTCTGAGTTTAGTTTTTGTCCAGACATTTAGCGTGGCATTCAAGGTCTCTTAGAAGCTGGCCCCACCTCACTCCCATTGGCTCTGTCCTCTTCTACTATGGTGTGACGTGCCTTTCTTCAGAAGTGTTGAGCCAGTCATGCTAACTGGGTCTCTAGAGCAGTGGTCATTCAGGATCCCTCATCCTTGTAGGCTTGGGGTTGGAATTTGGACCTCAACTACCCAGAGCTTTTGTTTGCCACCTGGACTCCTTTGGCTGCACTGACCCCCAGAAGCCTAGTTAGAGGCTGGGCGATGCCCTCTGGGCCCCTTTCTACAGGGACATCTGAGGCCCATACCCTGATGGTGACCAGGCGTGGAAAAACAAACTCTGGGAAAGGGGTCACCTTTTCCCAGAGCCTGAGCCTACATGTTGGCTGTTCACCTGGTCCTGGGAGAGTGGTCCTGGGAGGGTTCTCAAGAAGCCACCACCTTTCGTCAGCCTGAGAGCACCCATCCCTTCCGTGTGGGTGTTGTGGGCGAGTTGGGAACAGACAGAAAAGCTATAGGAAGTAATCCCTGTGAGGCCTCTGTGGGAAAGCAGGGCTTCTGGCCTCTTTCTCCTGCTCTCAGCCTCCTGGACCCACCCTAACCCCTCCTGCAGGTGAGAGATGGGGAGAGGTCTCACAGTCCCCCTGGAGGTGGTACTTTGCCACTACACAAAGAAAAACCACCTCCCACCACTCAATCACAGCATCTCATGTGACTTTTCCTAGAGACAAGAAGTTAGTATGAACACAGCAACGGGAAGGTCAGGTCATATAAGACCAACTCCTTGCCCTTATATGTTTGCGGTTGAACTCCTCGCAGAAAACTGTGGCCGGAACCGGTTCTGCATCTTGCACAGGCACAATTTTCAGGTCTTCAATCCATTCTCCTCTGCAGTGGGTCACAGCCCTCCTCATCCTTCCAGGCCCAGTTCAATAACTACCATCTCTATAAAATATCAGTTCATGGTTGAGGAAGTTTCTGCTAGGTAACTCGCCTAAGTTTTCTTTGCTTCGCGTTCGCCATTCCTGCTGCAGACAGCTTTTGTTTCCTTTCAAGAAGCTGGAGTGCTGGGATAAGCCCCCAGCCACTGCGTTTAAGTGATGGAGCCGGCCCCTTCCTTCTCTGCCAGTTATGTTCCAGTGTGTATTTATTTCCCAGTGAACTGTGAGCCCTTGAGCACCGAGACTGCCTGGCCTAGGGCAGACCCTTATCATGGGAACAAGTGTCCTTGTTTGCCCAGGTCATTCAGGCTGATGCCTGTTGTCCTGTAATTATTTACAGTGACTCCTTTTGCTCTCAAGGGTGTCTGGGATGGGTCGGTCACTCAATTTAGCACAGACCTGTTAGACCAAAGTGCCCGACTTTGTTGCCTGCCCCTCTCCCATAATCTCCTCCCAAAGGTTCTTTCTCACTGGCTTCTTGGGGTGAGAGTGGGGGTGGGGTCATAGGAGTCTCCCCCCATCTATGGTCAGGGCCAGAGTGGGATGAGTTTCTAAGGCAAGGCCTTCAACAAGGTCACTTTTCTGAGAGATTCAGTTTCCCTGCCTGTGATTGTGCGGCTCAAATGAATTGTGAAGATTCAACTTATTCTACAAATGGT